TGGACTTGGTTGGCCATTCGTTGTTGATAGTGATATGAGATTCTAATAATCTCACATGATCAACGGCGGATATGCAGTTTTTAGTTTTTCAATTGCTGAGTACTAAATCATTTCTCAAACCAAAAGAATAAGAGACTAGACAGTGGGATTAAAATGGGTGACGACTTCCTACAAAATTTTCATCTTACATGCATTGCTTAACTGTGAAATTCTAATACAATCCAGAGTGCATTATTAGTATTGGTGACAACGGCTCCATATTAGTTTATGCAGTCTTTTACTTTTTCCACTGCTGACTGCTAAATCATTTCTCAAACTAAAAGAATACAACACTTCTTTCGAAGAACATTTCAAGATTGAAGAAAAACAACATCCATATAAAACAAAATTCCTTCTTTAAAAATGATATTGATTAAGAGGAGACAGGAGAGCGACAAAACTGCGAGAAAGGTGGTGGGTGAAGATGGAGTTTATAGTGTGGGGACTAGGGTTCTCAAAACTTGGCAGCTGCATTTGGCATTTTCTTGTCAGATGTTGGACTCGAGGAGCAACTGAACGGTAGGCAATATTTTTTTCTCTTTTTTTTTTTTTTTTTATTAAAAGGCTTTGCTTTCGTGCATTGCACGATAAGGTCTTGTACTACTCACCACAATTAGATTCTATTCAGCTCCAGCAGATAATGATACGTAAGATTACAAGGGCCACGTCCACTGAAGTTAGTTGAATTGGTAAAGTTCAAAGCACGTTTAATAATGTCGTTATTTTTTTAAAAAAGATTTATTTAACTTCTACTCTAAGAGTACAAGTTAAATGTATAATTAATATTTTTTTATATTAATTAATATAAAAAATAATAAAAATTAATATTAATTTTAAGAAAATAATTTTTGTACAAATTTTTTTGTTTTATTTTTTGTATAACTTGACATGTTATTAAAATAATTAATTTTTTAATTCATATAGGATTGATAATATTGAATGCGTTAACTCATTTAATGACATATGAAAATTATATGAAAACATGATATAAAAAGGTTCTTCCTATAGCACTACCCTTAATTTTATCATCAGTACTACATGTATTGTTTTAATTGGATGATTGATTAAATAAATAGTAAATTTTATTTCTTCAATGATAGTTAATACTGAAAAGATATTCTTAGGCCACAAGTTAAAAGAACACTTAAAAAAATTTAAA